GCTCCATCTCAACTAAAAGCCTAAGCTGATATTTGGATTGCACATTAATGGCTATGCTCACAGCCGGTGGGTGAGGGATCACCCGCCGGCTGCCCGTCGGAGATTACTGCCCGGCAGCGGGTTGCCGGCGGGCGGACGCCTGCCCGGCGCCTGCCCGCTGCCCGGCGGTGATCTTCGGGCAGCGGGTAGGTGGCGGGTACCCCTACCCCCACCTACCCCCCACTGACTCATTCATCACAAATCCGTCCCAGGATCCTTTGTGGAACCCGAAATCATGCTTAGACACTTTTAAACGCCATTTACGACACCACGTAGTTAATTAATGGATCAAAAGCAAGAATCACGTATAACTCATCCTATTATGACTTCTAAACATAAACAACACCCGAACATACGAATTTTCCACCCAATTTATATCAAGAACATTATAACACAAATTCCCAATCCATCATAGGGCTCTAATCCCTCCCAATTCATCAAAATCACAATTTATCTTTAACATCAAGAACTATCAAGATTTGTCAAGAATCATTACATCAATATCAAGAACCTCTTTTCATCATCAAGATCATCAAGATTATCAAGAATACACACAAATCATCTTATCAATCATCAAGGATATTTCACAAATAGCATAGAGGAATTAATCAAGACACAAGCATATAGAGGGAGGCCAAGGAAAGAGATTATAGCGAAGAAAATAGGTTTTGTTGAGACATGGGTTACCTCTTAGCCTTAATTAATTTCCTTAGCTATGAAGGGTCTTTCTTTAAGATTTCTCCTTTCTTGATTTCTCCGAAGGGGATTCTTGGAACTTCTTGTGTGGTGAGAGATTATTTGTGGTGTGAGTTCTAGGTGCCTCCTATGTCCCTATTTATATAATTAAGAGTCCTAATTGTGGTCTAAGTGGCATGGGTTTACTAATCCTATTTCTTATAGGACTAAGGGGCTGGCTTTAGGGATAAAGGGCCCATGGACCATGGTGGACCCCTTTTTGGCTAATTAATGGATTTTAATTCCCTTTTTAGGGTGGGTGATAATTTAATTGATTTTAATTTAGGGGTCGTAACACGAGGTGTTACACCTAGAGCTTGGTTTAATCGCTTACATAAGTTTTTACTATCTGTTGGGTTTCAAGCATAAAAACTGAATGTGTCTCTATTCTACTACTCATAGGACTCTGCTTATGTGTATTTTTTGGTCTATGTTGATGATATATTTGAGATGGGAAGTGATCAGGATCTTGTGACTCATTTGATAAAAGAGTTATCTACTGCATTTAAGATTAGGAATCTCGGTGAACCTGGTTTCTTTCTTGGGATTGAAACAATTAAATGTGATGATGGTATTTTACTTTTGCAACAGAGATATATGAATGATATTTTGAAACGTGCTGGAATGGCAGAACGTAAAGCATTGCCTACTCCTATCTCTATTTCGAAATTTATACCCTTCAGTGCAAATTTATATGAGGATCCTACACAGTACAGAAGTCTGGCAAGAGCACTACAGTATCTAACTATCACATGCCCAGATCTGTCATTCGCAGTCAATCAATTGTGTCAACACATGCATGGTCCTACAATATCACATTGGGAACACCTAAAGAGAATCTTTAGGTATGTAAAGGGAATAGTTGATTTTGGTTTACGTATGAAAAAGTCAGCATCAAGAAAACTCCATGCGTTTTCTAATTCTGACTGGGTTGGATACCCTGAGGACCGTAAGTCCATGAGTGGTTTTGCTGTGTTTCTTGGATCTAACCTTATCTCTTGGGTATATAAGAAACAAAGAATTGTTGCTAGATCTTCTACTGAGGAAAAATACAAAGCTCTAGTAGATGTCTATGCCGAAGTTACGTGGATAGTCTCCCTGCTGCGTGAGATTAAAGTGTTAGGTATATCTGTTCCAAAATTATGGTGTGAAAATCTTGGTGCTACTTATATGTGTGCAAATCTCATCTTCCATACTCGTACCAAGCACGTGGAAATTGATTATCACTTCGTTCGAGATAAAGTGACTTCTGGAGACATTCAAGTTAATTTTATCTCCACATGCAAAATATCAACTTGCAGACATATTTACTAAAGCTTTGCCTAGTCCTATATTTTCTTTTCTTAGAGACAAGCTATAGGTTACTAGTATATCATGTGCTTGAGGGAGGTATTAGGACTAGTATTAGGACTCTTTGTATTTGAGTCACATTATGACTCGCTATCCTAGTCTTCGTATAATTCTCTCTTGTATATATTCCCCCAATCTGTACAGTTGTCATTAACATTTATTCAATACAATTCTATCAATTCTCATCGATACTACAGATAAATTAGATTATTATAGTAAAATAAATATTCTATGCTATCATTTATTAAAAATGACATAAAATATTATTCAAGTACTCATCGAATTACCCTACTTATAGAATACTCTACTATCAAACATTTTTTTTTGTGTGTACAACATCTTGTACCTCGCCACTCTCAGACTAATTCACTCTCAGACTAATTCAAATTTTATTATAGTCACATTAATAGAATTTGGCTATTACTTATATGAATGTCCATACACATACAAGAATATATCATTTGATTTTATAATTGTATTATTAATAATCTACTTGTCAAACTTCAAATGCTAGTATAATGCGCCAACCCAAATCCTAATCGGACCAACCAAAATGAAAAAGAAGTCTCAACTTTATAAAGTACCACCACCTTTGAGTTTATTTACACTCCAAATTCTGTACAACGTAACCACGGAAAGTTTTCTTTTTATTTTTCTTTTCCTTTTTTAATTAGGTAGATAGATATTTACTATAAGGTTGGTTGGTTTCATGGTTTATTGTTGGCTGAATAGTATATATTTTGGATGACGAGAGAAACTCATAATTATTAGTCGAGAGTATTTGTTTAATAATCTACAAATTACACTAGTAATAGTATATATTTTCGTTATATGATATGCATTGATGAATCACAAAAATAAAATTGAAAAAAAAAACAAATTATTCCTAAAACTAATAAGCAATGTTGAAAAAATCGTTAGCGTCCTCTAGGTGCCTGGGGACCGCCTAGAGCGCCTAAGCGGGCACCTAGGAGGTCGACCGCCTAGCGTCTAGGCGCAGGTTAATCGGCGCTTAGGCGCGATTTTTGCAACACGGCTAATAAGTAATCAAAAGAAGTACTATGAAGTATAAAGTAAAATGAGTATATGTGTTCTTGACTCAATCTATAGGACCTTATTTCATTCCATACTCCATAGTGTAGTGTACGTTCGTTCAACTATATATTTCTAAACTACACGATGTATCATGTTATTTGACAAAACAATTAAGGCTCCACTTAGAGTGGTAGGATTGAAATGACTAGAGGAGTAGCGATATAATGGTCCAACGTAACAACTCTAATTTGTACTACTTTTATTTGACTTTTGTCCTTTTAGTAAAAATTTATGTAATTTAAGTGGTGAAATGTTCTAATTACTCAAATTACAATTTATTCAAACTACTCTTTGAAAAGGGATTGAAGTAATAATAAATCATGTTAATTACTCTAATACACCATAAATTTAATTAATATAGAATATTTCTTTTAATTTCAAATTTTATAGGAAAGACAACTACTTTGAGAGACTGAGAGCATCCTTAATAGTGATTTTTTATTTTATTTTATTTTGTAAGATTTTGTCATATTTTTGAGAGAAAAAAAAAAGATTAACAAGAAAGATTATGTAAATTATGTAAGTATGTTTTGTAAATGTGAATTTTGTATGTTATTGATGTGTACTTAATATATGTATATATTGTTTTCTCTCCTCCCTCACTCTCACTTGATCACAAGATTAAACTTGACAACAAATTTAACTGAATAAGGATGATAAAAAATTTTTTTTTGGTGAAATAAACCCTATAAAAATTGAACATTATCTAACTCTTCTAATTCTAGCTTCACAAGCATCAACAATTAGAAGATCTGATAAGTCATTTGAAAGAATTTCGAGATCCGTCGTACCGGATAGGGATGGTGATGATATTTCTTATTGGTACATTGAAATTTGAAACAAACCTAACGTGGATCATTCATCTAGAAACATCATCAAAAAGAAGATAGGCGCAAAAATATCAGATTAGGATAGCCGCAATATCACGTAATGGAGAGGATAAAAAGCTGCTAACACTTCTGAAACGAACAGACATAATATTATCACATACTCCGTATTATAAGCGAATGGTTAGACTACGTTTGGCGGCCATATATGTTTTGTCTGTCTGGTCGCAGAAAATAATTTATTGAAGAAAAAGGAAAAGTCAATAGTGGACAGACCACTCATGAATGGAAGTCAAACATGTTCTGATTCTGCGATATGATGATGACGACAGGTATTAATTAGGATACGATTCTCAATCATGCAATCACAGTATATGAACCACCTCTGATCGGCAATAATATAATATAGGGAAAATGGCACTTTTTCCTCTATGTTATATACTTATAGCACTTTTTTCCCCTCAATTATTTAAGTGGCTCTTTTTTCCCCTGAAATGTTAAATGAACATATTTACCCTTAAAATAAATATTTCATTTATTTTTATTCTCCAATAAATTATTACTATAATTTGGTTCAAACCAGATACTATGGTAATCAAACCAAAATATTCCAATTACAATTTATAATCAAAACGCGATATTTAGAGTTTATTAAAATCGCGAACTGGAGTGGCCGGTTCATGTTCCAAACTGAAAAAATAAAATACATTTATTGTTGAATTTAAACTATTTTAAAATAAAAAATAAAATTTTAAAATAAAGACGGTTCAAAATCGCGAACGGGATCCGGAGCCGCCGGTTCATGATCCAGTTTTTTTTTTTTATTCTTAAATTTAATAAATTGAAATCCAAATATTGGGTTCTAAATCTGAATCATAACTGAAAACTTTTAATTCGATTGCTATAGTATCTGGTTCAGTTCGAACCGAACCGTAGTAATCGCTACATATACGCAATAATTTGTTGGAGAAGTAAAATAAATAAAATGTTTACTTTAAGGGTAGAAATGTCAATTTAATATATTAGGAGAGAAAACCACCACTTTTAAAATAATTGAGGGGGCTAATGTGCTTACATAAATAATTGAGGGAGAAAAAGTGCTATAAGTATATAACATAAGGGGAAAAAGTGTCATTTTCCCTATAATATAATGTTTTTTGATTTGGAGAAATCCTTCTCTCATCTATTCATCTGCACATACAATACATTAGTAGTGGAACACGTGATGATTACACAGTTCAGTTTGCCTTTGAAATTTGCTGTTTTTTTCTTTTTTAGAAAACAACCACACGCGGATTAATTATGTTCTGTTCTCATAGGTTGTTGATTTTGGCGTGAAGGGACAGATAACAGATTAATCCCATTCATAAAACACTTTATTTTTTCCTTACAATTGAGATTAAATATAAATTGTACATATATATATAAACATTATATAAAAAAGTTATACTGTAAACTAAGGAACAATTAGAATATAACAAAGAATTATATTATGGAATATCTTTATAAGTTGTGTACATAAATATGAAACATATTTCACTCGACATGTGAAGTTGAGCCTTTCATTTTGTTTCTTTGTGTGGAATCATTGTCAACACAAAAGCCTCACTCGTAACTTTAATTTGATGCATCACTTGATCTATATTTTGAGCATTCAAAAATTTATACATCAATTTTAAGATTATCTTATGAAAATTAAATTATATAACATAAAATTTAATTATTTCTTCATTTAATTAATTAGTATAACTTAATAAGTATACTGATTTCACAAGAGCTATAATTTATTTTTTTTAAAAAAAAATTAATATTTTTATCCGATATCTCTAGTAAAGTAAGAAATACTATTATCTTTCAACAAAGAGCAAATTACACTTTTGGTCCTATGACTATAGGGGGCGTGTTAATTTAGTCCATGACTTTTAAAACTAACAATTTAGTCCTTTAACTATGTTTTTTTTAACAGATTTGGTCCTTCCGACCAAATCACCGGTGGAAATTGACCGGAAAAACTTAAACCTTTTTAAATTTTTTATTTATGAGGGTAAAATGGTCATTTCATCCTCATTTCTTCTTCTTCCTTGCTGCGCCTGCTTTTATTCCACAGACCTTTCAAAAATACGAACTAAGTGGTCTCAATGCAGTTAGGAAATAATGCACAACAAGGAAACAACCATAGAAAAATCCCATGACTGTAAAAAAGCACACAACATCCCACTTACCACGGTGATCCTACCTTTGCGCCGACCGCCGCTTAGCAGAAACCCGGGAAGCAAATCCAGCCGCCGCCACACCCAATGCATCACGAACCGCCGAGGGAGGAGTGCACCTAACCGACAGCCGCTTGAACTTCCCAGACGACGCCGTGAGGCGGTCTGCACCTACGGAACCCGAAGTCGACGACAAAAACGGATACCTGGACGCCCTCCTCTTCGATTGACGACTGCCAGTCGACCTAGCCATCACTAGCAACTAGTCGCAAGAACCACGGGCGAGGAAGATGAGATCACACCGCAAGGAAGAAAAAGAAATGAGGATGAAATTACCCTTTTGCCCTCATGAATAAAAAATTTTAAAAAGTTTAAATTTTTCCGGTCAATTTTCACCGGTGATTTGGTCGGGAGGACCA